AAATTTCCTTACAATAGCACTTAAAAAGGTAAGAAGAAGCAGCTGAAATTGGGCTTAATAATACATTCTGTTTAATCCCATCTTTTTTAAAAAAGATTTTATTTATTTATGCATACAGGAGCTGGGGTACAGGCCAGTGATGTGGTTGGGGTGAGAGGAGTCACCAGAGGCAGAGCGGGGAACAGAACAGGCAGACGGACTGAAATACACTGCTGAGGGGAGCAGCGGGCGAGACAGGAGAGTCTGCTCTGCCATGTGGGTTGCTCTCTGGCCAGCCAGGAATCGAACTTGTGCTGCAGAGGCTGCGGATTGCTTCATAGTGCTGTGCTTAACCCCTTGTGCCACCAGGGAGGCCCTGTTTAATCCCATCTATTTAAAATATTATCATTTCAACATGGCATCCATACGTTATTGAGATATTTTGCATTTTGGTTTTTGTACTAAGGCTTTGAAATCCTGTGTATTAATGTTTTATTGCTGTGTAACAAATTGCCACAAAGTTAACAATTTAAAACAAGACAAATTTGTTATTCCAGTTTCCACAAGTTGGAAATCTGGGTGCGGCATGGTTGGGTTCCCTCAGCAGGCTGAAGTCAGCCAAACTCAACTAGAGTTTGGGGTCCTCTTCCAAGGTCATAGACTGTTGGTGGAATTCATATCTTTGTGGTTGTAGGACTGAGGTCCCCACTTTCTTGCTTGCTTTCTCCTGGGAGTTACTCTCCATTTCTTGAGTTCGTCTACAGTCCCTGGCCATGCAGGTCCCAGCATGGATGTTTGCTTTCTTTCAGGCAAGCCCAAGTGCTGACTTCCTTTTCTGTGACCGGAGAGAAGAAAGTGCTCTGCTTTCTAAGGCTCACCTGCTTAGACCAGACCCACCCAGGATAAATCCTCCTTCCTCCCTATAATACTCACTCAGTCCACCTATCCTCAAAGAGGAGAAAATACAGGGGTGAGGGTCACTGGGAAGCATCTTAGTGTTCTGCCCACTACATTTTCTTATAATTTGGACTAATCATATTTCATGTGCTCAGTAGCCACGTGTGGCTGGTGGCTACCACATTGGACAGCACAGCTTTAGGCTGTGACACTTCAGTTCTCCCTCCAAAGTAAGAAATGAGAGCAGAAAGAGGCTCATATCACTCAATTACCAATAGGGAAACTGAGGCAGATCTGCAAAGAGGCAGATCCCCCATTTGTAGGCCTACTACTCTCTCAGCAGCTTTCACTGACCCCCAGACTTAGAGAGTTTCGCTGGAATTGGAGAGATAATTTCCAAAAAGGAGAAAAGACAATTTCCCAAGGGCAAAAGAGAATGGAATCAGGACCTGGTTTGATCCCAGATCATGTTATGCGAGGTAGACAGAGTGTTGGGTGAATGATAAGAGCGGCAAAAGGGACCTATGGGCCTCTGGGCCAAAGGGGTGTCTGTATTCTTTATGTGCCGTGACTGTGCTATCCCCCAAATCCTTCTTCAGTCCCTGACCAGAAGTGGCCACCTGCACTCACAGGGTTTTACTGAAAAGAATGAGCTTTTTGTTACATAAAGGACAGAAATTTTTGTAATTAAATTGATTTGGGTGTAGCAGGAAGCTTCTAGAATGTCTCCCAGTGATATCTACATCCTGGTGTTCATGCTCTTGTGTAAGCCCTTCTACTTGCGTATGGGCAGCACTCATTGATTTACCCAGTGACGTGGCAAGGATGGAATGTGGCTTCCGGGATTAGGTTACATAAGATGGTTACTTCCTGCTGGTTTTGATGAAGCAGGTTGCCAAGCTGGAAATGCAAGGAGATGAGAACTATTTCTAGCCAACAACCAACTAGGAATCGAGGAACTCAGTCCACAAGCCCTCAAGGAACTGACATTCTACCAACAACCATGAACTTGAAAGTGGATCCTTCTCCACTCGAGGTTCGGATGAGACCCAAGTCCTGGCCGCCATCTTGATTTCAGCCTTGTGAGTTCTGAAATGGAGGACTCACCTAAGCCGTGCCTAGATTCTTGACCCACAGAACCCATAAAATAACCAAGCCAATGAGTGTTATTTTAAGCTGCTACCTGTGTGGTAATACGTTACCTAGAAACTAATTCTTACACTGAGTTTGAGACTTGACCTTTATTCCTTATTTGCTGTGTGCTCACGGTCACATGAGATCTCCTCTTGGATCCTTCCCTTCCTCATTTGGGAACATTGTCCATTTTTGGGGTTGTATATGCTGTTCCTTCTCCAGGAACTACTCTTCCTGCCCTTTCTTTACCCTGTCTACCAGTTAATTTAGCTTTAAGAACAAAAACAGAGCCAGAGGGGCTTAATCAGAGAGGAGCTGACTTTTTCAGCCATCCAGGGCTGGTACAGTTGCCCATGAATGACGCTGAAGACCCAGGCTACTGGGTACTTCCTCTCCACTGCTTCTTGTTCTTATAGAGGCCGGTACTTTTGCCAGCGCTTTTCCCATAGCCCTGCAAATCCCTTTACCACTTTGTGCACATTGGCTCCCAGTATGCTTGTCATGCCGACCCTGAGTATCTGCGTCTCTTTGTAAAAGGGCTCCATGAACCTGCTGTGTCTGCCCCTGGAAAGTGCCTGGGAGACCCCAAGTGCCTGAGAACCTGTGTTCTTAACAGGTGACTGTGGGATACAGAAGCATAGACATTCTGGCTCCTTTGACCCATGCAGATAACTCTGAAATGTCACCTACACTGGGCTCTGGGACCCTCCTGTAGGACTTTACTTGATGTTACACCCTAGCTGTCCTCCTTCTCCTGCAGGTATACTTTTCCACCTCCATATCCATTTTTCCTGGGAGCCTCTCCAAACTATCACCATCATATGAATCTTCCCCACAAGATTTGTTTCTGGTGAACCTATCTAGTGACAGTCCTCAAGGTCAGCATGTGGTTGTTTCAGCTGCAGTAGCCTTATTCCAGGAAGGACAGAGGGCTAATGGAGGACAGACAAAAGACTGATTCTGTCTCCTTTGTTGGGGTAACAATAGTTCTCTGGAAAATCTTTTCCCTAACTTCTTTTTTTAAAAAAAGATTTTATTTTATTTTGTTTTGTTTTTTTTTTAATCTTAAATTTTATTTTTATATTCCCCCATACAATTGCAAACGCCCCATTCTGACCCCAATCCTTCCCCTCCCGCCCCCCACCCCCCAAAAAGGGTCTCTGGTTCATAGTTTTTTGTTGATTTTGATTTTCACTTTCTTATATTCATTTTCCTGGTCCCTTATTTAAGTTTTCTAGATTCCTGCTATGAATGAGACCATCCGGTATTTTTCTTTTTCTTTTTGGCTTATTTCGCTGAGCATGATCCCTTCCAGCGCCATCCATGTTGCTGCAAATTGCATGTGTTTATCTTTTTTGAATGCTGAGTAATATTCCATGGTATATATGTACCACATCTTCTTGATCCAGTCATCTACTTTTGGGCATTTGGGTTGTTTCCAAAGCTTAGCTATTGTAAATAGTGCTGCTATAAACATAGGGGTGCAGGTGCTCGAAAAAAAAAAGATTTTATTTATACAAGAACTGGGGTACAGGCCAGATGCGCAGGAGGGTGAGAGGATTCACCAGAGACAGATGGGGAACAGAACAGGTAGATGGACTGAAGACACTGCTGAGGGGAGCAGTGGATGGGACAGGAGAGGTTTGCCACGCCGTGTGGGTATCTCCCTGGCCAGCCGGGAATCGAACCTGTGCTGCAGAGGCTGCAGACAGCTTCACAGCGTTGCACTCAACCCACTGTGCCACCAGGGAGGCCCTTTTCCCTAACTTCTAATTGTTCTGTCCTGGGTCATGTGATCAATCCTAGCTGCAAGGGAACCTGGGGAAGGGAAACTTTTAAAAATTTAATTTACTTTGGGTTGTCAGAAAAGTCATGATGTATTTTTTCTGTTTTTCAACCCAACCACCCAATATAATGGTCTTATGTGGGCTACAAAGTTTAAATTACGCTCACTGAATTTTAAAAAAATTGTGCATCCACATGGCTGCAATACAGATTATCACCTGCACCTCAGTAGCCTGAAGGGTAGGCAAATACTTCTAACTGGGGACATGCCTGTTGGTAAGGAAGAGGGGAGAATGGATGACTAGTGGTGTCAACTTGGCTAACTCCTCCTTAGACTCAAGGTCTTGGCATGACTGTCCCCTCCTTCAGGAAGTCTTCCCTGATCTCCAGGCTGAGTTACGACCCTGCTGACTAATTAGTCTCCTGGGTCTGTCCAGTCTAACGCATATCATTCTGTAGTGCTTGAGCTCTGGGATGACATTGCCTAGAGCCTGCACTATTTGCTTAACAAACATTTATTGACTGCATCGGGGAGCAAAGCTAAATTGGAGACTGAGGACCCAGCCTCCTAGACCCAGTGGTGGGTGCAGACCCCACCTGTAAAGAATACCCTACTGTTCCAGCATCTGGTCCCCAAATGTGGGGCAACCTGAGCGATCCGAGGGTGTACCTAGATGCGCGTCATATGGCTTTGACTCTTGTGGGAAGTTACTCTCTTTTCATCCTTCTTGTTACACCAGGAGGTCTCAGTTAGGGACCCGTGTCTTTACCGTCTCTTGAACCCTGTGCGCTTCCTTTATCATGAGAGGGACAGAGCAGGCTTTGGGCTCACGGTCTTGGCAGGTGGCAGGCTCTAGTCAGAATTTAACAACATCATTTAATGTAATGGGTCGGGACTGTTTTCATTGTATTTGCTTTGAGAGTTACACTCTGCTTGTGGCCGGTGATCCTGCTTATCCCATTTAAAGCAGTGATATCAAGCTTTTCTTTCGAAATAAATTTACCTTTATACAAAAGTGAGTCCATTGGAAGAAAAGAAGGACATTAGATAAATAGTACGGGCTGTGCACAAATTACCAAGATGCTCTTTGAGAGGCTTAGAAGATGTGAAAGGGGCATATGAATCGATAGAGGTTTGGAAAACTCTAGAACACATGTGGGGGAGGGCCAGACTCCACAAGGAGGGACCTGCCTGAACAGGGCATTTAGGTGGAAGGAGCACGGGTGAAAGGCCTGGACGTGGCATTAGGAAGGGCAAGAAGCTCGAGGCTCTCGGAGTTGTGGCAGAGGCACTGGGTGGTGGGGTGGGTCTCCTCTGAGGTCTGGCGGTGGCCCAGACTCCGGGCAGAGAAGCCAGGGCGGGTGGCAGGGGAAGTGGCTGCAGATCAGAGCACATCAGGAGACTGGAATGACTGCAGGTGGAGATGGTGCTGCCTGGATGCCCCCCACATGATCATGTCTTCCTGCCGGGACCCCCATCCTGAGCTTCAGCGCCATGGATCCTAAAGCCAAATTAGTCTGATAAGAGAAAAGGAAAGGGTTAATCCCTCCCATAACAGGGCTCGGGGTCCTGGCCTTTATCACCCGCCCAGGCCCCATCAGCCCAGCCTTGGGGGCTCTCAGGCAGGACTCCCCACCTCCTGCATGAGGACATACGGAAGCTCGGAGCAGTTTAGGGCTGTGGCCGGGCGTGTCTTCCCAGCGGGACCCCGGTTCCCCCATCTGCTTGCCGAATGGCCACGGCGAGGCCAGGGCTTTTTGGGTGTTCTGTTAATGTTGCTGAACCGGAAGCCTGTCTCAGAGCCTCAGCGAGGGAGAGAACCCGCCCGGCCCCAGGAGCTGTACCTCGAAGGGGGCTGCGGCAGTCGCGGCCGCAGGCCGTGGGGCAGCACCGCTTGCTGCCCGAGCAGTCGGAGTCCTGGCGGCACAGGTGCTGCGTGGGGCTGAGGCAGCGCAGGCGGTCCTGGGGGCAGCTGCCCGACTTCACTGCAACACAGGGACCGGGTGAGCCTGCTGGGCCGGGTGGGGCCGGGCTGGGGCCAGGTGGAGGGGACTCACCTGAGACCTTGTGCACACACTGGCGGAAGCAGGCTCGGGAGCAGCACTTCATGCTGGAGGGGCACTGGCTGTCGTCCACGCACTGGTCAGGCACCGACAGGAGGCAGGGCTCTTCGTCTACGGGGCAGCCCCCGGGCTTCTCTGGAAGGGAGACCCCTGTTTTGTAGGTGGAGGTGGTTCATGCGTAATCCGTGCCCACCTCGAGTGGCAGGATCCGAATCCTTTTGGCCCGCCCTTTGGGAAGTTTTGAATTCAAGCCTCAGTTTTTTGTGACGTGGGAAGCTGGACGCCTTCCTTGCAGGCCTGGCTTGAGACTTGGATGACATAAAGGCTGGGAAAGAGTGAAGTTCAGGGTCTCCGCCGGGACCAGCTAGGCCTTGCCAGCGCAGGCCCCTGCCCATTTCTCTGGCCTTGTCCGCTATGCCCTGCCCACTTTGTAACAGGTTGTATGTGTACACACAGACACGTCCAGACAGTCACAAAAGAGCGATGCACGTGCGTGAATGCCGCCATGTAGGTGCAGTGACAGGGACCTGTCCACATAGCCACTGTCACATGTGCACACACATCACTGCCACATGCCACATGCACAGAGCTGGTCACTGACACCACAGTCGCTGAGACACCTGTCAGGCACTGGCCATCATCAGGGGCTGTGCCAGGCTCCTCATGTCAGACACCGTGACAATTGAGGGGGCAACGCGGGGCTTCCACGGACAAGAGACTTCCCTTCCCTGATCCTGTCCCTCCTCCGTTGTCTGGAATTCTGCCCAGGGCCAGGCAGGGGCCTGGTGGGAGAGGATCGGGGAGGGACAGAGAGGTGGTGGCCGTCCCCCGGACTCAGGTTCTGCAGGTGCAGCTCTCCCCTCTGAGCAGCAGGGCTCAGTGCTGGGCCCTCACTCCGTAGTCCTGTGGAACCGCCCACGGAGGGTGCAGTCCTGAGACCCCACCCTGCTCCCGAGATGGAGGCACGAGGCCCCGACTGACGAAGAATAAATCGGGGAGGTGAGTCATCCTGATTCCAAGGACTGCGCTCAAATGCCCTCCTGGATGCTAACGCAGAGTCAGCCCCTGGACGTGGGCAAGGGCTTCCCACTGAGCCTCAGTTTCCTTATCAGCAAAATGGGGATAAAATTAGTCCTGAGCTCATGGACTTGGCTCATGGGCTTCCTGCAGCGAGGAAGAATGTGGGCATGGAGCGCGGTCACCGCCCGCGCGGGGTCTGGTGTGGGAACTCCCCGGCATCCCTCCCGCTCAGCCTGGGGGGCTCTGAGCACCCTCCTCCCCAAACCAGCTTGTGTCCCAGGGAGAGAGCCCTGCCTCCGAGGAAGGCGGGTTCCAGGACTGGAGTGGGGAGCAAGGATGCAGTGAGCTGCAGGGAAGAGGGCCTTGTCCCCATGACTGTCCCTGTCCCCAAGGCAGGGCCCGGTGCACAGGGGAATGTAGGTCGGAGTGTCCCAGCTCTGCAAGATGGAGGCAGAGGCCGCGCCCGGATCAGGAGGCACCTGTCTAGCTACTCCAGCAGCCCTGGCCTCCCTCACCTGTCAGCAGGTCAGTTGTGGCCCCAGATGGGCGAGCGCTTCCTCCCAATAGATCCCGGCCACCACACTCCTTCTCACACTAGCGTCCCTTGCACAGGTCGGGCTGGGAGATGGAGAGGGCCCAAGAAGGACGGAACCTGGAGAGCAAGGGCCAAGCAAGAAGACGGCAGAAAGGGCCATCTCCATGCCACGCGGACCCACAGATCTGGACACACCTCCACGGAGATGACCCCAGCAGAGCAGGAGCCGGAAGGTCCTGTCCCTCTCCGGAAGGTCCTGTCCCTCTCCGGAGGCGCAGAGAGACACGCACGTCCGTGAACGTATCAGAGGTTCCGAAAGCTCGCGCTCATAAGCAGTTCTTCCTCGCTAGCCACTGCAGACGGGCTCACACAGACAAGCAGACACAAAGACACTCGTGGTCCCAGGGACACACTGGCACGCGTGTGCACACGCTGTCACACCCAGACCAGGAGACAGGCACAGAATGGCCCCAGAAACTGGCAGGAAGATGTTTATGGACACACATGCAGGCAGGTGGACAGGCACGAAGACACACAAACAAAACACAAATGCTGGTAGCGCCAAGGAGCAGGTGTCTGCAGACTCACATGCAGAGACACACGCCCCTCATCCCTGCCTTCTTCCAGACCTCGCTCTGCCCAGAGAGGGAGAAACCACCTGATCAGGAGCAGAGGAACCTACCCACACTCACCTTTCTTCCTTCTGCCTGAGGCAGTAGGCAGCTGGCTCCCCAAAGCCAGGAGGCCCACCAGGAGGAGGAGGCTCCAGGCTTTCATGTTTCAGCAACTGATACCTATCAAGGTCAGGGCCCAAGGGCCCCTAAATTAACACCTGCAACCCAAGGAGTCTACAGCAGCTGAATCAGGGGAGGAAGGCGAGGGGGTGGGTGGAGTGTCTGCCTCATCTTGGCCCCACCTCCTGCCCTAGAGTCTCCAAGCAAGGCTGCTTATGCAAGAACTGGCGATGGGTGGGGGCTGGTCCCCAGTGTTGGGGGTGAGGATCCAGGCCTACCTGCCTTGGTCTTGTCCCTCTGAGGGTCACAGTTTTGCTCTTCCATGTCCAGCGTGGAGGTTGTTGAGTCAGAGACCCCCCACTTTCCTCGCTCTGTGAGATCGCTAAGCCTCCCCACGGTGCTCAGCAGGGGAGAGAGCGAGCTTTGGTGGCAAGGAAGGTTTGCTGACTGTCGGATGCCTAGGAGGCATCAGAGTTGGAGTCCGAGCTTCCCTCTGGAGATGGCTGGGCCAAGCTGGCATGGCGAGTGGGCCAACCCCGGCTTCTCTTGGCCCCCTCGCCTTCCCTACGCATGGGTAGAAGAGAGTCCCCTCCCCTCCTTCACTGAGATCACCTCCAGTGCTATCTGGTAGAACTGCCCTCTGCCTGGGCCGACTGTCCAGGGTGGATGAAGCCCGCATTTTGGCTTGACTGTGGTTGCTGGTCACGTTGAATGTGGCCTCTGTGATCCCTTCTCTGACTCCCAGGGATCCTGAGCAAAACATCACCGCAACCAGGGACCCTGCGTTAGTGTCACATCTGTGATATTGGCTCCCACATTTGGTAGAAGAGGTGGAGCTGGGGCTCAGGAGATTCCTCATGTGTCTGCTAAGCTCTCAGGAAAAGAGGGGCCCCCACATTCTATGATCTGATGTCACTTTTGGATTTCTGACACCCCCTGGGCAGTTTACTTGGAAGAGTTCGTGGGGCTCATTCTCACCCCCTCACCCCTCAACACTCTTCCCATTGCAACCTACAGACGTTCAAAGAAGAAACGTTTTTCAATTAAGATTTTGACTGGAATTAAGTTTTCAGTTGTAGAGTGTCACCTGTGTCGTGAAGCATCTCCGGCGCCATCATTTCTGGTGGCCACGTGGCCTACATAGGATTGATGTAGCAACACCAGGCACTCAGCTCCCTGTTGTGAGACATCCAGGTTTCCATTTTTTTACTCTCATAAATAAAACTGAGCTAACGATCTTCGCACATACATTTTGGTTCCCATCTCTACTTTCTTAGGGCTATTAAGACTATTTTCTTACTTTCTGACTATTTTGAAATAGAAATGTGAGGTTAGTCAATGCAGTTATAAACTTCCAGTTATAAAATAAACCAATCCTGGGGCGGACATTACAGCAGAGAATATAGCTACTAACACGGAATCATGTATTTGAAAGTTGCTGAGAGTAGGTCCTAAAAGTTCTCGCCACAGGGCCTCCCTGGTGGCGCAGCGGTTGAGCGCTGGGTTGCGAAGCTGCCCACAGTCTCTGCAGTGCCAGTTCGATACCTGGCCGCCGGCGAGGGTCCCACATGGTGGGCAGACCTCTCCTGCCGCGTCCGCTGCTCCCCTCAGCGGTGTGCTTCGGTCCTTCTGCCTACTCTGCTCCCTGCTCTGGCTCTGGTGAATTCTCTCACCCTCCCGCGCTTCTGACTGTACCCAGTGCTTGTATAAATAAATAAATCAATCTTAAAAACAAAAAAGTTCTTGCCATACAAAAACACTGTAATTATGTATGGTGATAGACGTTCACTAGACTTCCAGTGGCGAATATCTTGCAATATATCTAAATATCGTGTCATATGTACACCCGAAAGTAAGGAGTTGTATTATACCTCAATTAACCTCTCCCCCTCCTCCAACAAAACAAAACAAATGCTGGGTCAAAGGGCATGGTTGTTTTTCAGGTTTTGGATATCCGGTCAAATTGCATTTCAGAAAAGACGTCACTGAGGATGTGAGAGCCTCCCTCTGCTATGCACAGGGCACAGCTCTTGTTGTTCACTGCCTGGCACCCCTTTCTTGGGTGGAGTCATCGCTCACGAACTCCTGTAATTCTGGTTGGCTGACATTCACCAGGTGCTTCCACTATCACAGGTGAGGGCACTGGACCGAAGTTAGAGCCTCTTGTCTCCTCCCTGACCTGCCTACCCCTCTGTTCATACCCAAACAGAGCAAAACAGCCTGAACTTCAGGTGCTGATGCTTACAACCAAAGATTTTTTTTATTTTTGAACAGAAAAAGGTGGATTTATTGAAATACACTGCTAAGAGAAGCAGTGGGTGAGACAGGAGAGGTCTGCTGCCCACAACCTCAGTCAAGTGCCATCACCTGTGATAGTGGAAACACTTGGTGAATGTCAGTCAACCGGAATTACAGGAGTTAGTGAGCAAAATACACACTCACCAAATATAGGATAGTAAAAAAGCACAGAATCTTTGCAAGTGGAAAGCAACTTAATTTGCTTTTCTCTGAGTATTGGTAAGGGAGAGCATTTCTTCATATGTCTTTACTGACCAATTATATTTCTTCTTTTGTGAGTTACTTGTTTTTGTACATTGCCCTTATTTATTTATTTAAGATTTATTTATTTTATACAAGAACTGGGGTACATGCCAGATGCGCGGGAGGGTGAGAGGATTCACCAGAGACAGAGCAGAGAGCAGAACAGGCAGATCAACCGAAATACACTGCTGAGGGGAGCAGCGGGCTAGGCAGGAGAGGTCTGCTGCAACATGTGGGACCCTCGCCGCCCGGCTGGGATTGAACTAGTGCTGCAGAGGCTGTGGACAGCTTCACCAGGCGGCACTCAACTGCCTGCACCAGCAGGGGAGGCCCGCCCACATTTATTGAGGGTACTTTTATTATTTAACTTTGAGAGCTCTTTATATATTAAGGATACCATGAGAGACAGTTTGGGAAAGTGGTTAGTGCATGTAAACTGGAGTCTGGCAGATCTGGTTTTGAATTTTAGTGGCACTGAATTCTAGTTGTGTGATTGGACAAGCTGCACAGTTTTCCTAAGCTTCAGTTTACTCTTGTATATAATAGAGATAATATTAATTTTATAGGATGGTTCTGAGGATTGAATGAGATGAGCTTGAGAAATGATTCTTTTAAGCCTACACTGTAAATATAAATATTTGTTTCATTGTTTTTACTTTGTACCAAAACTTAAAATTTTGTGATAAATTTTAATTTTGAATCCATCTTTTCATCTGTTTTCTCCCTTTGTTTTTAAGCTAGAAAAAGTCTTTTTAACACTTAACACACAGTCAATATATACACTTGTTTATAATCCTTCAGTGATTTTTGGAGAAAAAAGTTAATTCTTTAATATATCTGAAAATTATTTTGGCATTGGCATAGGGAAATATCTTTTTTTCTAAATTATTACACAGTTGTCATAGTATCCTTTAGTGAGTAACTCACTTTTGCCATTGATGGGACATCAGAAATTTATCAAGCACTAGAGTCTTATTTGTAGCCAGGGGTGTCTTGGGTTGTCTCCTTTTTTCTTTTGTTTATTCCTGTGCCAGCACCACTTCTAGAAAGTGGCTGCACAGTGTATTTTAGTGTTTTCTTCCAGTTGATCCTAATAATTATTTTTTAAATTCCAAAAGTAAAGCTGTTGTTAAATGTTTTATCATAAACATTTCCAAAACCACACAAAGGAAAAGTACATATTTTTATGAGGCCCCACATACCCATCACCCAGATTTAACAATTAAGATTTTTTTCCCCAGCTCTACTGAGATGTAATTGACATGTTGAGTAAATTGTGCAATTTGTGCAACGTGATGAGCTGTTACGCACATGCACGCAAGACACTTACCACAGCAAGAATAATGAACAGCTCCCTTACCCCACACAATTACCATGCTGCGGTGGTTAGGCTGTTCTATGCTTATCAGTTTCAAGGATAGTTAGAGATAGTGTGGCTCATCAGAGTGATGACGCTGTTCATGAGATCCCTAGAATACATTCATTTCCTAACTGCAATCTCCACAATGACGGTTACACAGCACCTCCCTTCATATTGACATGAAGGTGCCACCCTCTCCTATTGGCTTACATATTTTGAGGTGACTCAAACAAATCTTACATTTTACCCAGAAGTACTTCGGTCTGCCTCTTGGAGAAATAAGAACATTTCCTCTATAACCACAATACTTTTGGTGTGCAGTTGTACTTTCTAAATTACATAGTTAGGTAAACAACAGACACGCTGAATAGAAAAAGTCACACTACTCTTGTCGTACTTAACAAAATTAACAGAATTTCTTAACAGCATCTGATTTTTTTTCTAGTATTCTAATTTTCTGGTCATCTCAAAAATGACTGTGCCGTTGGCTTGTTTGAATCAGTGCAAAATGCACAGATATCACATTGGTTGTAATACTTCGTTTCTTTTTGTCTAGAACATTCCCTCCAACTCCTACTTCTCTTGCTTTCTTCCTCCTTATTCATGCTACTTATTTGTTGAACAAGATGGATGAATCGTCCTTTAGCATACCCACCTGACTTCCCTACTGCTCTTCCAACTTCTCTAGCTTTTGTGTTCTCCGTAAATGAAGCTTAGCTCTAGAGGCTGGATGGCGTTCAAGTTCAACATTTTCAGAGACACTTCCATATTTAAGGCATAGGAATGTTAAAAAATATGAATTATGGTTATCACTTATGACACCTTTTAATTTCCTGGGCCGGAGTTTAGGCACCAGCTGCTTTGGAGTCCAGACTCTATCCCATCTCAGCCCATCCCCCTCCCTGTGACAGATAACATTAATTTCAGCGGGACAACATATTTATTTAAAATTTGTATATATTGTAAAATATTTACCACAATTAGTCTAGTTTACATAGTTGAGTTGCAGTTTTTTTCTTGTGATGAAACCTCTTAAGATTTATTCTCTTAGCAATTTTCAAATTTTGATATGGGAGTTTTATCTATAGGTACCATGCAGGACGTCACATTCCCGTGACTAATTTATTTTATAACTGGATGGG